GCCATATTTTGTTGTATTATTTTAAAAAAGGTAAGCGTGCTGCAGAAGCTTATAGAAAAATTTGCAGTGTTTATGGGGATGATACAATGCCTTAACCGAATGCACCTGTCAAAATTGATGAGCCAAATTTCATTCAGGAAATTTTGAAACCAATGATGCTCAACGTCTAGTAGCCCACATGAAATTGGAATGAGCAATGTTAAGGCCATTTTTTATCAAAACACTATCCAATCAGTGTGAGGGATTGCTATGGCCCTAAATGTGTCGCACACAAGCGTAGAAAATCATTTGCACAAGCTCGGTGAAGTTTCCAGGCTTTATGTTTGGGTCCCTCACATGACTTTTTTTTCAAAAATCACAAAAAATGTTATAACTTCAATATGACTTTAGTTATCTACAAGAAATTTAGCAGGAATTTAGAGCCACATAAATACCAAAAAAAAAAAAACACTTCAGAAATTGACATCAACACCTTCGTAAACAAACTACAAATGGAGATAAAAAATAAAAACCTATAAGGAGTTTTTGTTTATTTATTCCTTGTGCAGGCATTGAATCAAAAAACTATTCATATGGTTTTGAAGAGCAATAATTCAGCTTTCCAACGGATATAGTAACATCGAATTGGAAGAACATCCTGAAGAGTTATGAATGATCGGAAAGGTCCATCAAGATTACGCTAGGCCCAACACCTCATTGGCCACTGGCAATAAATTATTGAGCCTTGGATGAGACCCTTTTTGCCCGACCCTCCGTATTCACCAGACCTAGCTCCAAGTGACTAACACTTATTTCGGTCCCTGCAGAACACCATGAACTGAAAGAAATTCCAAAAGTAAGTAGACATTCTATGAGCGTGACATAATGCAGTTAGTGGAAAGATAGGAAAAAGTCATATTAAATAATGGTCAGTATATAGTAGATTATAATAAATTTTATGTCTATAATACCTTGAGTTTTGTTTCACCCTGAAAAACCGAAATGACTTATTAGTCAACCCAATAGTTCATGCATTTATCAGTAAAAAAAAATTGTCTAATAAATCATTTTTAATTTTGAAAATGGCAGGGTTGAATTTTATATGTTTAAACCATCCTTCATTATTAAAAAACAAATCTGGTGGGGTGCTGGTTTATGAATGTATGTAGTACCAAAGGATACTAATAATTGAGGGAAAAAATTCTGAGTTTCATCGGAAATATTTATCACAAAACTTGTCGAAAAAATAACTTAACATTAGTAAATACTGAATATTATTAGGTTTATATTAGTAGATTCTCAACATTTCACATGAAAACTTTTTTATAGAGTTATAGATAAGTGATATATAAAATTTAGACTGACAATATGAAAGCTCTGTAAAGAGGGGTGTTAAGAATAATTAAAGGTAGAAGATCAGCAAAGGTTGTTCACTGTCGGCTGTTTCTGCATAGCTTCCAACCCTAATATCTCCTTTAGTTACCTATAAATTTTCTCATTATGTTTAACCATTTTTTTTATATCAGTTTACAATGTAAAATGGTTCATTATTTCAAATTAAAAAAATTAAAGGTGCTTTAGAGGTAAATATTTTAAAAATTAGGCATTTAAACTATGTTAAAAAACATCAATGAGAATAAGACGTACCTTATATTAACACTGCTCAATTGATATTAAAATATTAATTGATGATATAATGTGGAACTTCCGGCTAGGTGATTTTGACGAAAAAGTGGTTGTAATTTACCAGGCATGTACAAATCTTTAACACACAATTTCAGCTACATACAATTTTTGAGCTAGACTGTTCACACACACACAAACAGACAGACAGACCATTTTGTAGGATTTGGTTGTTTGGACTCAGTGGATCTCAAAACATGTATTTCTGTTGAAAACTCAGATTCGAAAATGTTCATGATCAGAATACTTTCCCTTACTATATATATATATATATATATATATATATATATATATATATATATATATAGGTAAATGAAATTAAAAAAGAAACTATAAAGGCATTTACTAAAGTGAAAGAAGACGACTAAGTTTCTAGAGAGGCTGCTCAGATTTCCGTTTTAAAAACTTGGAGAGGTTTTAGTCTAGGAAGTGTCTCATTTAGAGGACTCTTGATCATTATTTATTTAATTTTCTTAGTTAGTTTGTAGAATTAAAATATATGTTATTAATGTCCACCATTTTAATATTATTGGTTATTAATTTTGGATAAAAGAATATAAGTGGATCCACCACAAAATAAAAGTCAACCCCTGCTAGGCCGGATTCGAACCGAGGAATTGGCCGAGGATGATAGACCAGGCAACGCTCCAACACACTCCTCATGACCTCTCCTTTCACTTTATTATTATTTAGTCTATCTGCGCAGTTTTAAGCCAGGGCAGGTTGAAATTTATTTTATGCCAGACCCACAAAATACATCTCGACCTTCCCACTTTGGATAGAATAAGTTTGGTTATGTCTCTAGACAAAAAAACCCCTAAAAAACAAAGATGGGAATTGAAGAATAAATGGGACACAGAGGAATAGTTTTGAACAGAAAAATGTGAAAAGAAGTCATTGAAAATATTTAGATTAAAGGGATCAAATTGAATCAGGCCCCTCCTAATCAAGTTTGCAAATAACACTTGTTATACTTTCTAAACATAATTTTGTACTTCCACCAATTACTGATAAATTTTGAATCTCTAGCTAGTCAGCTTACATAACAACAGCAAAACTGTAAATGTTAAAAATAATAAATTATACTTGACAACATATGTATAATATACAATTTATCCAAAAAATAAGGTAAAACATCAATTAATGAACAACACTGTTCACATATTAATTATAAAACAAAAACTTAATATTAATTCTAATGATACAAATATTTCAACTTTAGATATATATTTTTAATACAATTTCTAAAAGATAGTCATCATAAGTGAAATAATTAAACAGAATTTATTTACTTTGAATCCATGTGTGTAAAATAAAACCTACCATATAATAATTTTTATTTAAAAAAAAAAGTTAGTATAGGCCAGCAAATAATAAGTTAATTCTAATAAGGTAAATAATAATATATTTTTACCAAACTAAAAATTGGTAAAAATACCAATATATTTTTACTAAACAGATTGTGAAATATAACTACCTAAACTATAATATTGACTATTTTAATTGAAATTACTAATATACCACTAACAACAAAATTATCAATAAAATAAATTTATCAACATATTCACAAATGGATACTCTTTTCACAAATTTATGACTGACCAGCATAAGTTTCCATTGACAGACTGAATGGAAATAGATAAAAGTCAACACTGTTCAACATTTTATTATTTAAGTGTTTAACTATAATTATAATTCCCAGTACAACTCTTATCTAAAAATATAGGTCTAACAATGAATACATGTATTTTTTTTTAATTTAAAAATAAAATAGGAATTTAATGCAGAAAAAGTTTTCATATATGGTCATTTTATATTGTAATTTATTTTAATCAAAGTTCTTAACCCTTTTCAAGCCAAGGTGTCTAAATGGATACCTTTATTTTGATTTTTTTTTTCATTTCTCTTACATTATAGTCGTTAATACTTCCATCTGATCTAGTATAGTCTCCTGTTTTTATATTAGATATATTTTTCATAACTACTCTATAATGAAGGAGAAATGAAAAAAAAAAAATTCAAAGTAGTGGTATCCATTTGGACACGGTGGCCTGAAATGGGTTAAATTGAGTTTTGAATGCAGTCTTTTATTTTTAAGTCCCATTTCAAATAATTTGGAAATTGATTGATCAACGTATGTAGTATTATATTTTACTGATGTAATTTGATTCCTGAGCTTAAAATGTTTGATGCAATTTAAATCTGTATGCTGGAGAGGAGTTAAATGTTCATTTAGATAATTATATAGCACCAATTACTTTGTGTGGAAAGCTTATGACTAAGGGTCATTATTCTGGTCAAATTTTAACATTCCTTCTTAACCCATTTTCGCTTCAGTAGTCCAAATAGCCTATGAAAATAACATTAAAAAAAAATTAAAACAATTATGAATTCAAGCTGAACCAAGTACAACTCCAAGGATATCAAAACAATGCGACTTTAAGGCCAAAGTGAATATAAATAAAAGCTCTCATACTCGCCTATGAATTTATGAAATAAAACCAAGAGATAACTGGAATGATATAATTTATTCAGATGAGAACAAATGTACTATAAATAGTGTGGAGGAAAATTGGAAAGGAATTTGAGCTAGAAAACAATTTTCTGTTACTAAGAAAGATGGAAAGAGTAGTATTCTAGTGAGGGTGTGCACGTTTGTGAAAATAGAATTTGTTTTTTTATCGAGAGTATTAAGAACATTATTTTAAATAAATTAAATGATAAGACTAAGCATTACATTTAAAGAAAGAATACATTTTCTGCATGAAAATTCTTATTTTATAATAAAAATTATAAAAAAAAGATATACTTGTTAGACATAATCCTCAGAGCATTGATAGGAGTGGAAGTAAATTACAATTAGTTATATATATATAAAATTGTAGGTCAGAATTGTTTCTGTTTGCATTCCGATCTGTCGATTAAAACTTTTGCTGGCAGCAAAATTAAAGGTTTATTTTAATTTGATAATGAACCATTAACTAATTTGTAAAAAATGGCATATTAATAAAAAACGAATGCTTTTTTATTAATATAAATGATACCCTCTCCTAAGATATCACTTGCCAATTCAAAACACAACCTGCAAAAAAACTAATTATAAACCAAAACAGAAACGCCAAAAACTAATAACCTAGTGCCCAATCCATAAGATTTAACCTAGTAAAATACATAAAAACAAATTGAGTAAAATTAATATTCGACGAGAACATATAAAACCAGATCTCTTACCATTTAAATTGGATCAACTAAGAAATTTAAAAATGAATTTCAAGTATTAAATATAACTTAATAAAATCTAAACAAGCTAAAAGGTGTGAGCTAGGTAAAAAATGGTTAAAGTCTAAGCAATCGTTTATTAATCAACAGTTATAACACTTAGATTTTACACATTGTAAAAAAAAATATTTGATTTTTAACAACAAAGTGTGTACTAGATTAGAATTCTTTTGGAAAAATTACAGTGATGGGAAACAAATTTTTGAAATCTCCTTAAGGAACTAAATCACTAACTTCACATAGTTTTAAGTTTTAATGCATCTCAAACACATTAGATAAGGCTAATTCTGGCTTGTCATATCCCAACTTTTCTGGTGTGTCGATACCCAGTTCATCCAGAGTAGGCTTGATTTCATGGAGTATATAAGGATAAATTTCTTGGACCTTTCCGCCACACTTAAATTTAACTGCTTCCAAAAAGCGAACAGCTAATGCATAATCATTCACCCTCCTACAGGCCTTTAGAGCAGCAGTAACAATCTTTGGTTCAGGAACTAAATCCATTCCACATATATCATTCATAGCTTTTCTCACATCCCATCCATCAATGCTAGGATTGTTAAAAAATGCTTCATACCTCGCATCGAATTCTTCATCAGATTCAGTAGAAACCTTGGACATTTGTCGCACTTTTATACATGCTGGTTGTGAAGAATTTATAATATTTTTAGTTGAACCTAAAATCCTCAGAGCCCTGAACATTTCGACAATTAGGTGAGACTAGAAGAAAAATAAATGGCGCAGACGAACAGCCTTATCAAAAGATGAACCTTACAAAGAGGTTGGTTTATAAAAGTTTAACGTAAGTTCTTACATCGCGATGAGCTACAGTTTTTCGGAGAGATAAAAAAATAGAATTTTATGTTTTATTTTACTTGGAATCTGTTACTTGGGGGCTCGAGGTTGAGTCCGGCTGCGACAGATAATTATTCATTCAATTATTTCAGTTGTGGATTGCCCCTCAGTTGTCTTATCCATTCCTCCGTAGACTTTTTGATGGCTTTTTTTATAGTCTGCTATTTGGAGGTGGAATTATTGTAATTCAGATTCATACTTTTTTTTCCCCCTTTTTCGAGTATTTTAATTTTAATTTTAATTTTTTGCTTGTTGCAAAGTTAACTCTCCTTAAATCATTATCATTGGTATGTTCGTGAAGACTGTTTCAACTGATCTTAGGTTAGCCTGTTTCCCAATTATAGAAATCTCCTAGCACTATTTCAGCATCATACTCAGGAATTATATCAAAGTGTATTTCGAGCATGTCGTAGAACTTTTCTTTGTCTTCAGTAAGTGCAGGTACACATATCAGGGAGACATAGAAGAATTGCGCTTTTAATCTCAACGTGCGGATTCTCACTTTCACCATTTTTCTATCCAGGGTCAAATGCTGTTTCTTGCTAAAGTTTAAAGTTAGCCTTTCTTATTAATCATGGATTATTTCCTAACAATATTGGCTTTATGTCCACTATTGAACACTATGTAGTCGTCATGTTCTACTATCGCAGTCTTCTTCTATCCAATCTCCTGCAGTGCAACTATATCCATGTTGTTCTTATTTAAACAATCTTCCAGCATCCGACTCTTATCCACCTTCATTAGACTGCATACATTCCATGTCCCTATCAGAAAATTCCTAATCCTTTTCTCGTCAAGCTTTTTACCATATATCTGTCCAGTTAGTTTAAGAGGAATTATTTATTGGCCCACTACCTCGTTAGGGCATCCTGAACTCCGTCTCCGGCGGCTACTAAGGGAAGGTGACCCTTGGGTGTGTTCTGATAATGATCTTTATCTATAAGTGCGGAGTGTGTATAGTGTTCTGAATCTTAAGTATTCTGTGAGTCTTAGTGTAGGTGTTCCCCCAAACTGAAGAATCGAGCAGGATGATTAGTTTGGCCCACGGGCGGATCTACGGGGGGGGGGGGCTTTCGGGCTGAAGCCCCCCTCCCAAAATGGAAAAATAAAACCATGTTTAATCGAAAAAAATATAAAAAAATTATCTCTCGAAGTATTATTGTTCGTGTAATTACATTTAAAAGGGCTTTAGGAATCACTTAAACACCACTTCATATAAGTAATTAGTTTCTCTCTTTTTTCCCAGAGTAATTATCGTTATTTTTATGAAAAAAAAGCTTTCGGCTTGCGAGCGAAAAGAATGAAGCAAGAAAAAGAATGTTGCAAAGGTTTTCAAGGGGTAATGTAGAAAAATATAAACCGGAGACGACTATCGTGAAAATACTATGTAGAAAGGAGAAAAGAAAGAACTGCGATACCAAGCTATGCTAGAGGAATAAGAGAATAAGGATTATCGGAAATTCTATCATAAATTAAAAGACATTACAAAACGGTTAAAAACCACGTACGAACTTTTGCAGAGATGAGCGAAGAAAAATGTTGGGAGGTAAAGAAGAAATAATAGAAAGATATGACCTTATGAACCTGCTTAATCCAATAGGAGAATAAACCACAACAGGATGGAGTCCAAGTATGTCAGAGAAAGATGAGGCGCAGCTTGAACCACCAGAAGAGGTTGAAGAAGTAACTTTAAAATTAAAAAAACAAAAAGGCGCTAGGAATCGATGGAATAAATACAGAGGCGGTCAAATATGGAGAAGCTCTGCACCGAGAAATATTTGTGCTGATGCTCAAAATGCTGGACAAAAAAGAAATGCCAGAAGATTGGTGTCAAGCTGTAATAATCCCAATAAAAAAAAAACTGACTAGCTGAATTGCCAAAATTATAGGGGTATTACTCTGTAAAGCGCAGTTTGTAAAATATTTTGTATTCTTTTAGCAAAAAGAATAGTATCCACAGCAGAAAATGTACTGGGGGAATATTAGAGTAGCTTCCAATAGTGAAGATCTACCGTCGATCATATATTTTTAATACAAAGTACGATAGAATAATAATGTAAATCGAATTTTGAAATTCATCACTTCTTCATTGACTAACCAACAAGCATACGATTTAAGGAATTAACAAGAGGTCCGAAGGTATAAGACAATCCTTAGGTCTGTGGTCTTGTATGGAAGAAGTGAAACATGGACCCTAACTATAAAAAATGAGCGACTGGTGAACAAGTGGGAAACAAAGATTCTGCACAGGATATATGGCCCTACTCGAAAAGGAAGTCAGTGGAGGTTCCGAAACGTCGGGGGACGCTCTTGGTGCAGACTCAGCCACCATAAAGTGAGTATCCTTGAATGGAGGAAAATTTGCTGGTTTTTCCTGTCCATGTTATTTCCTTTCACGGACTGTTGGCTTAGAAACAGTACTTCCTTACAAAGCACTGAACACAAGTCCCTTACTTGGTAAAAGTACTGATTTTTGGATGATATTTCTATCTATTACATTAACATTATTTCTTAAATCGCATCATTATTAGTTATTAAAGAAAAATTAATAGACATTGTTCTGGAAGTTGGCTTTGTTCCTTAAATTCTCCGTTGTGGGCGGGCAGTTTTAATTCATATAGGAAAGGGTTCCACTGACGATTTGTCCTTATGGAGACTTATAACAATTTACCTCATATTAAAGAATTTAATTTACCTCATATCATTGAATAACTTTTTAATCACAACTTTGAATGCAAATTTCATTTCATCCACACCAGAAAGGTTTTGTGATCAGGCAACATGGGTGACATGTGAACTTAAGAATCATCGGGGCTATTCTCTAAGATGCTAATAACAAACAGAAAAATGCTGAAGTTTCATTGTTGAACGTAACTAGAGCATTCAAACATATTGGCCATGGCCATATTTTGAAGTCCCTTGAAGCTAAGGGTGTTTCATCTCACTTAAAAAAAGCAATAACAAGCCTATGGTATATTACCACCATAAGAGTCAATCAAGGGTTACCAAAACCAGTTATTTCAATGATTTGAAAGGAGTACCACAGGGTTGACCCCTGTCATTAGCACTCTTTAACGTTTGTGTAGATTCTCTGTATATAGAAGCCAGTCTGGCCCTAGTCTTTATACAGCTAGGAGTCGTGTTTCTCGTCGTATTTCTAAAGTTACATTTGTTCTATTATAAGTGCTATTTAGCTCATTTTACACTTAGTAAAGATTAAAAGTGCTCTTATTATTGACTGATTTAGTAATTTTGGGTTATTATTACCTAATAAACAAAAAGGTAAACAATAAATTTAAAGTTTATTGAGACTGTTAAACGAAAGATAAGGACCGAGATTGACTCAATTACATCTCTTACTCCGCACCACCCTTATTAGAGTATAATACTATATTTCTCAGTTCATCAGCTGCTTTACGATGACTCTGTGCCCGAAATGTAAAAACACGACCGGCAGAGCCGGTAAATGTACGTTAGTTTGTTCTACATGCAAACTAATTTAATATATTCCAATAGTTTGGGGGGTTTTATGGATTATAAAGCAATTTATTGCACTATCCCAGCTTAAACACTGCAAACGGTTACCGCTTGATAACACTGCTCTACATTGATATTGTATCTTACTTGAAAACAGCCTCATTCCATGTTTTTTGGTGTGAGAAATTCGAATTTCCATAAAAAAATCACCAGTTAGCTTAGTTTCAAAGATATAGTTACGTTTTGCATAATATGGGGAAAATTTCCTGCTCTTGGGTTGGTATTATTGATTTCTGTTTGTGAATCAGTAGAAGTAAAAGAAAAAAAATGAAATGGCAATTAACTGTTGGCAAGAAATTACAATTACATGACCTAAGAAATCTTACAAGGTTGTGGAAGTTTGAATGTGTAGAAGGTGAAGGATTTGTTGTTTGAAAGAATTGGTGGACTTGGTTTGACATATGGTGAGTTCCAAAAGGAGGTAACACGAATGACGAAGGATTTGCATTCGATAAACATTAATTGTAAAATAAAGAAAATAGTGAAATAGAAAAATAAGTGTAGATTTCAACTAAGCAGGAATGAGTATAGAAAAAAATATAATTTAATTTAAAATAAAATAAATAGCTTCTAACTTTCAAAATAATAGTAAAAAGGTGAGGTAAAAGTCTGTACGAGTATAAAATGTAAAAAAATAAATACATGGGATACTCAAAACAAAAAGGATTGGAAGAAACGTTGTAACCTATTTCAGTCTTTTTTTTTTTTTTTAACTTTCTTTATTGAATATTAATACATTCTGCCACATTGAAGGGCATTAATATTAAGGCTACATGATTCATTCACACAATATGTACATACAATTAATATCAATAATAAAGAAAAAGAAATATAAAAAAAATAAAATAAGTAAATTGGTATGCCTGTGTACAAAAAAAATAATGAAATAATATATAAAAGCTAGATGAAATTAAAGTAAATAAATCACATTCACACCTATGTACAATATTTACATTCACCCGAGGGACTCTGAGTCATGCTTTATTCCCCGACTTGGAAGCCAAGGCAGGACTCCAGGAGATCCCAGTGCTTCTCTCTCAGCCGCGTCACTGTTATTTGAAACCAGTGGAAACTGATGGAGGGCACTATAGCAACAGACGCTCATGTCTTGAGTGGAGAATCTGGCCATTGCCAGTACTCCAATAAATACATATTTACAAAAGGTCGCGGGGCCACTGCCGTTTTAACCTCCGGGGAGGATTGTAGGGATGACTGGAGCTAGATAGGGATTGTGCTACAGGATTTGGATGATGAGTGAGTTTCTGGTGAAATTTGAAAAAAATTTCTGGGATTAGGTCAATAACAAATGGGATATGAAGGTCATTATGGACGGTTTTGTTGGATACATAGAAGGGAGCATCGACTATTGTTCGGAGGATTTTGAATTTCAGTC